ATGCTTTAATAATAAATTATCAACATTTGGCGTCAATTTTGTAAGGGTTAATCTTAAATTTCCTCGGCTAATGATGTCCAGTCTGTTTCTTTTTTTCGTTAGAAGATTGGTAACAGCGCTGAGCCCCTTTTCCACTAGGTATGACGATGGAAAGGAAATTAAAAATTTCCTCGCTATATTCCATAATACGGGATAAGTAATGTTGTTGTTTTGCAGCCAGAATTGCTGATATCCGTTTTTAAACTGAACCTTACTGAACGTTCTTTGTTTGAACTTAGTTCAGTCAGTTCCTCTTGCATTATGACATTCGTTTCTTCTATGTCACCATATGGATTAATTATCCACGGTGGTATTACCATCACCAGTCAAAATATCCTCAAACCTCGATTCAAAATCTGAATTGAAAGAGGGCATTTAAATGTTGAACGTAAGTTGAAACGTCGTCTTCCTGGCAGCTTGTCTGTGACAAATTGGGAAACTGAGAAAATTCGCCCCGTCCAATATTTTGCTTCATTAGTTTAACTCTGGCAAGAAATGCTGATAAGATGGTCTTTGTTTTAATCAAATTTAAACTGTCGCCTTGTAATTGCAAATTAACCATATTAAATTTTGTAAACAAATCTGTTAAATAGGCAATGTCTGTTTTCCTCTTCATTAAATTTTCTTTTAAAATTTTATCTTTAGTATCCAGAAATTCTAAAATAGTCTCAAAAAGTGCAAAAAATCTTGTCAAACATAAGCCTTTCGACAGCCAGCGTACTTCAGTGTGAAGGAGTAATTGATGAAAGTGTTCGTCATTTTCTTCACACAACTGCGCAAATAACCGCGTATTCAACGCGTTTAGGTTTAAAGAATTGTTTTTTATTTTAATATTCCATTTCATTATGATTACCCATACATGACGACTTGAAGACGACATATTCAGATGGCGGGGGCTTAAGACCGGCCCCCCCGTCACGACCGGCTTACCGTGTAGCATTGGACTCCCGTTGCTTCGGATTCAGTTTACTGCATCAATGACTAAATGAAGTGATTCATGCAATCTAACACGCAAATTTTTAGCAACTAAATGTTGTCGATGGATGACGCAATGTATTGGTAACACCCCTATTTAAAACAAAATGTGTCACATTTTGTTTTAAATAGCTTATAAATCCACGATAACGTCCAACCATGGCAGGTACTCCATCTGTAGCTACTGATATTATATTTGATAAAGGAATTGCTTTTTCAATGAAGTAATCCTTCAAAACATGAAATATTGATTCACCTTTAGTGTCGGTTATCAAAGTTCTTGCGAAGAGCAGTTCTTCGTAGATTTCTTGATTCATAATAAAACGAACATATGCCAATAATAATGCTGCATTATCGGGTAAAGTTGACTCGTCCAGTTGTATGAGCAATGGGTCGTTTGCAAATAATTACATAAGAAGCTTTCCATATCAGAACTCATTCCATCAATACGTCTTTCAACAGTATTGTTGCTTAAGGGAATTCTTTTAATGATATCAGATGCAGGTTTGTGTAAAACAGTTTTTAAAACCTTTTCAACGGCTGGCAAAATTAACTTCTCTCCGATAGTATGCGGTTTTCCGGATTTTGCTATAAGTAACGAAATATTGTAAGACGCCCGCAAACCATCATCATTTCTTTGTGACGTCGAAGCTAACATTATGTCCAGTGTAGGTCTCTTCTGAAGTTTATCATTGAGTGTGTGAAAATATTTCAAATCTTACTCTGTTTTATCAGGGTGGCATCTTCTCAGATGATCTTGCAGTTTAGATGGGTTCATAGCGTCATTGCCGAAAACTTTGTTGCATAAAAGGCACATAGGCAATTGTTTATCCGGCAATGAATGGAATGAAGCCAAATTTAAAATAATCGACACTGTACTGTCCAGATTTCTTTTTAGATTCGGACATGGCATCAGTCATCTGTGGGCAAAATTAAATTATATAAATAAGACAGAAAATCCAGCAGCTGTATATTAAAAATATTATTTGATTTTTCCGAAAACATTCCATAATTCGAACATCTTCTTGCAACTATTAGCTCGAATTACGGAGATTGCACTGTAATTATAATACCGATTGCTAAAACTTTAAAAAAAAACTATTGAGGAGTACTCGTGTAATTTTTCATGATTGAATATTAAACTACTAATACTAAAGTCATGATTGGCGTAATTTATCTATTTTTGCTAACTACGAGTACAAAACTAAAATTTTATAAAAAATAATGTACTTACTTTTCTCCAGCACTCTCAAACAAAATAACACTGACTCACTATAATTTGTGATATTATCTGTTTATATTTTTTTAAAATATTTTCTTAGCACTTTCCTTTTCAAGATTCAGGAAACGAATAAACCTATTTGTCCTACATTCGTATTTATAGAGTCACGAATTGAACAAGTCAGTGCAAGGTAGCGAAGCTCTGAGACTGCGATTCTCAGGTTTTTACAAGTTCAAAATGTATTGCGACCACAAAGCGAATACCAACATCCTACAACTTACACAATTTTATAAACATATATAATAAATTTTTTACTTCATAGGTACTTTTATAAATAATGTAATATGTTTTGATATTATAAAATAGTATGATGTAAGTAAATAGGTACTATCAGTGTATGTGTTGAGATCCACTATCGTGGACCCCCATTTTCATTTCATGGACCCCCAAATTTGTTTTCGCTAATGTAGACCCCTTGCAGGTTGTCATAGAACCCTAGGGGTCGATATAGACCACTTTGGGAATCACTGCGCTAGATCAACGAGGCAGTCAATTTTCTATTATAGTCAATATAATAATAAATCTTCTATTACTCATGATATTATAATTATGTTAGTTATAGGCGGCATAACTAGTGTTTTTTGAAATAAATACCATATTTGAATATTTAGCCTTTATTTACTATATAAATAATATAAATAACTTAGAATTTATATTTTTAAATAAACAGATTTATAAAATTATTTATAATTAAACGTTTATTGTTTTAGTTCTTTTTCGTTATTTTATTTTAAAAGTGTAATAATACAAATAGATAAAAGTAAAAAAATATGACAATTTATGTTTAGTTCAATTATTAATCTACGTAATGTAATCCTTACATGTAAACTGATTAAAAATGTCTGCCTGCAATTATTGCAAAATTTTCATTAACCTTATAGTTTGATCAAAGATATTTTTATACATAAATTAGTCGTAACATAAATTCTTTGATTATATAGACAGGTATATAATCAAAGCATAAATTAGTCTACCATTGCGTGAAATGGTGGTATCATTTCATGATATTTAACACTGAATGAATGATAAGTCACTCATAAAATTAAATAATATAACGCTGCTAAATATTTCTTCTATTCCAGCCTATAAAAGTCCACTCCTGAACATCCTGAGGCCTCCCTCATATATTGCCTCATGGGGGGTTTTATGTTTTATTTTTTTGAGTTGTTATCAGGAAGACGTTGCTGATGATCGGAACGGAACGGAACGGTATGGGGTAGTGGATATTCTTACACCACCATAACACGACAATTTGTTTAGAACCAAAACTAAATACCCAGACCACTGGCCATTATCATGATGATTTACCGCATTTACCACTTGTCTAACGCAATGACTAACGCGATTATTCTGCACACTGTATACAACACGTGTGTTTTGTGTGCACAGTATTACTATGTACATAAAACTAAGAAAGATCTTTAGTTAAATATATTAGATGTCTATCAGCATAGCTTTAATTTAACCAGCATTTGTTATTAATTGAATCTGATGTAAATAATTGGAAATTAAGTGTACTGTGTGATATTTATTTCTATTTGATAGAATAATTCGTGGCATTGCTGGATGTTTATTTTTGAGGAAGATTTGGTCAACAATCATGCACAATCTTTGTTTCACTGTGTATTGATGTGTTTTATTATTGACTAGCGACCCGCCGCGGTCTATTAATGTGGCGTTATTTAGATTTGAGATAATGACTATTTATTTTATCAATTTTTGTTTCTTTTTTTTTCGAAAAATATTCAAGACAATCACTCCTGACAATGCTCTCTTTCACTTCAAAAAGTTTCAGTAAAATAGGTTCAGCCATTCCGAAGATAGCCTGGACCAAAGAATACTATAATACACAATAAAATGGCTGTCACCCTTATTTTGTACTAGGGTCAGCATCGGCGGGAGCACACATATTATAAGCAATTACGCATATTATCACTACTACAAACCGATTCGCTGTGTTGACAGACTGAGTAAATTTAAACATTTTATACTTGATTAATGTTCAACCGATTACGCCTGACGAGGTCCTCGCATCTCTTCGTCACATGGAGAATCGGAAAGGTCCGACAGGACCGGACGAGGTGCCAATTGAAGCGTGGAAAACGCTGGGGGCTCGTGGTGTGTGCATTCTTACTAACATACTAAAATAATGGAATCCTGAGCGACCGAATAATGCCCGATCAGTGGCGGCTTAGTATAATAACGCCGGTCCACAAGGGTAAAGGTCCGTTCAGGATTGCGGTAATTACCGCGGTATAAAGGTGACGTCACACACCATGAAGCTCTTCGAGCGCATTATTGACACCAGGATCCGACAGGAGTGTACAATATGGAACTCCCAGTACGGTTTGCAACCAGGACGCGGTACTTTGGACCCTATATTCGCCCTAAGGATCCTCATGGAGAAGCACAGGGAAAAGAATATGCCTCTGCATTTTTTATTCCTAGACCTGCAGAAGGCCTTTGACTGTGTTCCTAGGGAGATGATCTGGTGGGCGTTGCGGTCGAAGTTGGTACCAGAGACCTACGTGGAAATCGTACGTGACATGTACCGCAACTCCGATTCAATAGTCAGGACCGCTGTTGGTGATACCTCCCCCTTCCCCATAACCGTAGGCGTGCATCAGGGCTCCGTCTTAAGCCCCTATCTCTTTAGTGTGATATTAGACGAACTGTCAGCCAACGTACAGAAACTACCACAGCCTTGGCTGCTTTTATGTACGCTGATGATATCGCACTGGTAGATGGGGACAAAGGATGGCTCACCAGGCGCGTGCACGCATGGAGGGAGGTGCTTGAGAACGGCGGGCTGAAGCTAAACGTGGCGAAGACGGAGTTTATAGCCTGCAACAGCACAGATCTGACGTCTCTCCGTATAGGCCACGACACTGTCAAGCGCACGGACAACTTCAGGTACCTCGGATCTGTGCTTGATGCGTCCGGGGACATCGATAGCGACATCAAGGCCCGTATATCAGTGGCCTGGGCGAAATGGCGCGAGGTGACGGGTGTCATTTGTGACCGCAAAAATGCCGGTCAAACTGAAGGGACAGGTCTATAAGACCATCATAAGGCCTGTCCTTACGTACGGCAGTGAGGCGTGGCCGGTGCTGGAGTGACACCGGCAGTTGTTGCATGTCACGGAGATGAACATGCTGCGGTGGATGTGTGGCGTCACGCGGAAAGACCATGTACGGAATACATACATCCGCGGCAGCCTCCATGTCCGTGACATTGCTGACAAGCTGCAGGAAAGTCGCCTCCGCTGGTACGGCGACGTCTTACGACGACCGGCAAGCTACGTGGGAAACAAATGCCTGGACATGACCCTACCTGGTACCAGGAGTAGAGGACAGCCCAAGAAACGCTGGCTTGATGTCGTGCATTATAACATGCGCGCCAATGGGCTAGTTGCGAGGGACGCCGAAGACCAGGCAAAGTGGAGGAGGAAGTGTAGGAAAGCGGACCCTGGGTTCTCCCGCGTTGGGCGGGATGAGCAACCGGGATAAACACTAGGTAGAAGAAGAAGAAGAATATTTGACATCATCATTAAAAAATCCCTTAAATTTTAATACATATTTATTTGTAAACAGTGTGCAATTTAGCATTTTTTAAATAATTTGCATGCATAATTTGGAAACAATTGTAACGTCAAAACACATCTCTTGTTGACAGTTATACGTGTGAATTGACATGTTCATGACTTGGTGGCTACACGGGCTCCGCCCACTCCTCCATTCTATTATGTATATGTATTATATTATTCTATGGCCTGGACAAACATTTTTAAATGATTAATTTCTGACTAACTTGTATGCAATTTTTTTTATAGGATAGGATGTCAAACGAGCACACATTCCACCTGATGGTAAGTGGTTGCTGTGACACATCATCTACGTCTATCCTCGATTACGAATCAAAATGCAGATGCGTTGTCATCCGTGAGGACAGGTGGAATGCCTCGTTTCCAGTAAAAAGGGTCTCCGGTTCTCTACACTCACCATACGAATCACAGCAGCATTAAGCTACTATTTGACGTTGGTATTCTGTGAGAGCTTGGTTCTTTACCGGTTGAGCCGACCCATTCGCACTACACCTACAACTGTACTACTAATATAACTGCAGCATGGTTTTACCTAAACTCTTCATCTCAATTAAAGGCAGCTATTTCGATTTTACAGACAAATACCTCAATTTTATTTATATGTATAGATATGACACCCTGCAAAGGCTAACTAATTCTTAATTTTCTAGCTTTTTAACATAAATTACTAGTAATCTAAATCTAATAATAAATCTAAAATACTAAGTATCACAAACATTAAATATAACTTAAATGGAAAATTTTAAAAACTATTATAAAAATAGCTGATGATATTCAAACGGCTGAAAAGATTTTCTTGAATCATAGCTAAGAACACTCTCGATTAAGTCCCTTCAAACAAGAAAAAACTAAACCTGAATCGTTTCATCCGTTTCGGAGATATGATGCAACATACAGACAAACAGTTGCACAGATATACAGGTTTATATATATGGTTATAGTACGAATGAGTCAACTCGACCGGGGTAGAACCACGCTCTCACAGAATACCAGCGTAAAATATCAGCCTAATGCTGCTGTGTTTCGTATGGTGAGAGTAGAGAACCGCAGACAGATATGCCATCTTAGTCCTCAGGGGTGACAACGCATGTGGATTTTGAATCTTAATAAAGGATCAATTTAAATATATTTGGGCCACAGCATTCACTTTACATCAGGTGGACTGTATACACATTTGTCATCTTTATTCTATAAAAACACAGAGAATCAATCATGTTAAACATATTATAACATCCCTGTGTTTGCGTCAGGGGTTAAATATACAAAAAAAAGAAATAAAATATATTCGAAGTATTCTTCCTTTGTCAACATTTATCGCCAAATATGGAATGTTTTTAGCTCTATATTAAATTTCGCAGGGTTTTCAAGGATTTTTAAATAATTTGTTAGATGGTTATAATTTTTTATTGACATAGCGTGGGAGCGAGGCGAAACTTAATATGTTAATTTAGAAAAGGGTATTCTAAACTTATTAAAATTTCTGTTGTTTCTTTTAGTTTTTGTTATAATAGGCAAGCAGAGTTTTGGGTGTTTTCTCAAGAGTATACCTACATAACTCGAGGATGTTGATAGACAAGAATCAGTATTTTATGTTTAACGAAGTGAGGTTTACGGAATTCCATTTAATATACAAGCACTACGGTAATATTCTCAGAGACTTCCTTTGTAATATAAATAATTTGTTTACATCACAAGAGTTTCCCAATAAGATAACGCCATAGGAGAGTAACGAAGGAACATGTATAGCACAATGTATAGCCGCAAGGACAGTCCTAAATTATGTTACACGTTTTAGGTGTTGGAAAGCCTAAATAAAGGTGAACATGTTTTTACAAATTATTGTACGTGTATTTTTAGAATCAAATGTGATTTCAGGTCTCTTCATAACAAAGTTGCAGAGTTAACAAGTTTTAGTTTTGTGTTTTTTTATCATAATATGTTTAAGATTTTTAGAAATTTAAGAGGGACGAGCATTTGTGCATATGTATATGGATGTGAAGGAGGCAAGAGAGGTGAGTCAGGATCGTGCCAAATGGAAGACGGTAGTCTCTGCCTACCCCTTCCGGTGACAGGTGTAAGTGTTTACGTGTAATATAAATGATAAATGTAAATATGAGAAAACTATGACAGTTGAGATTGTACTTTTTTTCTTTTTTTTCTTTTATAGGAGAATGATAACAAACGAGCATAAAGTCCACCTGACAGTAAATGGTTGCTGTGGCCCATAGACATCTACATCTATCCTCGATTACAACCCAAAATGCAAATGCGTTTTCACCCTTGAGGACTAAGATGGAATGCCTCCTTTCCAGTAAAAAGGGTCTCCGGTTCTCTGTACTCTGCACTGTTAAGCTGCTATTTTACGTTGGTATTCTGTGAGAGCGTGGTCCTTCTCCGGTCTAGCCGACCCATTTGTGCTACAACTATACGAGTACTACTAATATAGCTGTGGTATGGCTCTACCACGTAAAGAACTATTATCATATCAATGATCATATCATATGTCATCCATTGCAGCCTGTTTAAAGTCCATTGCTCATAATACACCTCACTCATAGACTGCCTAGTAGGGGGAACATTTGTCATAGTTGCCATGATTAAGTGGCGGGTTGGCAACTACAGCTTTTAATTTTTTAAATTGTTACTACGACTGACTGATGCCCATCTCCTGGTTCGTTTCTCTCTGTCACCCACAGGGTGGTACACGGTTAGCTCATAATACTACGTACATGTTGTTATGAGCTTAGGGTTCGTTATAATAAAAACTGCCGATTGAATTACCAAAATTGACATTTTAATTACTGAACACTAAGTAAAACTTAAAACACACCAGTAATTAATCATACTTAACATTTTAGTTCACTTTATTTCGCTCCGAAGTCTTCGCTTGTGTCGCCAATTCAATACTGCCCCGGTCGCGGCCTTAAACGGCTTTATAGATAACTCTTTATTATAGAGTTTTTAACAAAGTTATTATATTGGCCTTTTCCACCGAATTATCTAGAATTTTAGAAAATTCGAGTGTGGAGTTTTCTATAAAGCTTAGTTCTTCTATTCGATAATAGATGGCGCTAGTGGGAGAGTTCTAGAAAGATCTTGACGCTCCTATTTCTGCTAATTTATACTAGATGACGCTAATAATCACCCGCCATATACCAGGCATTAATCATGGCGCGCAACAATATGATTATGTAATAGCGGCCAATAATGTATCTAATTTATCTAATTAATATATGCCATGTTTCAGAGAACATATGTGATCCGTGACAGTAAACATTTGGCCGCCAAACTCCAGCACGTCAAGCATGTTGTGCACGGGTGCTGTGCGCTTCTGTCATAGTGACCGAGTGAAGCCGACAACGGTCGAGCGTATGCCTGCTGTACTACCATATGTCGGAGGTGTCACTGACAAGATAGGCTATATCTTGGAGCGAGCTCCTTTTAGAACATTCTGTAAACCACCCAAGAAGATAAGTTAGTCCTTGTCATCCGTCAAGAGTAATATCTCTCTACAAGATGCAGGAGTGTACAAGCTTGACTGTGAATGTGGTCTCTCTTACATAAGACGAACAAAAATATCCATAAAAACTCGCGTGAAGACACATGTCGCTGATGTAAAGCACCAACGCTTCGAGAAGTTTGCTATGCCAACATTGTTCAGGATCATCCCAATTATTATATCAGATTTGATAAGTCTGTCAAAAGTAAACAACATAGATTTAGCTATGTTGCATTATGTCTAATGCGTAAACAGCTGCAAGGAAGTCCTCACGAAAGTATATATATTTTATTAAACTTGGAATGTTCATTTTTTAAAATTCTTACTGTCGCTGATTCATTAAATGACTTGCAACTGTTAAAGATAAAGTTTTAGAAGTAAATATTCTATTAAATTCACAACTTATAATTTTAAATAATGCATCATAGAAATAATCACTTTATTTTATTTTATTACTTTTGTATATTTTTTTTATATTTTTTTATATTAATTATATATTACTTCTAAACCTCTCCGAGCAATGTTCATTTTTTGGAACGAACACAACTTTTTCACTTTTCTGTTTATTTTGCATGCAAGACAATCCACAGTTATCCGAACTTAGATTTATACAAAGTGTGACGGCCCAATATTATTATTAATAATTAAATTCAATATAAAGGGGCGTCAAAAATAGTCTTAAAAGATATATATTAAGCAATTAAGTTAAATTAATAAACATAAAGTTAATATATTTCAGACATTATCCCAATAACATAGTAAATTAAAGGCAAAATTATTGTTTTTCGTAATAAATAAATTTATTTAAAAACTTGAAAAAATATTTAAAATAAGATAAATAATAGAAATACAAGTCAAAAAATATTATAAAATTAAGTTAAATAACGTTTATAAGATAATTAGAAAAATTGTTAAAAATTGTTTAAGTCATGGGAGGTGTTCGTGTATAAAAGAAAAT